GCTACTTTAAATGCAAGGCCTGTTGTGCGCTTATCATTCAGATTTAGAAAGTCCTAGTCTGGATCTAAAAAGCTGTTTCAAAGCCTTAAATTTATGCTGCAGGCACCCTGCTGTTATATAATGAAGTTAATTATTCTGAAATGTTGCTTCTTCTCCCTGTTTCCATATGTCCAGCCCGAAGGGGAAGCACAAGTCAAGACACAAGAAGGTGTCCATGCCAAAAAAATCCCAGACCTCAACGAAAAGTCGTTCTCAGAGATCACATCAGGGTAAGACTGCACTATTGTGGCTGACTGTGTTTTTAGGTGCTAGTGTTGTGCAGGATCTTGCTGTTAATTGTTTGGTAGCAGTGTTTGTGTTGTAAATATTTCTATATGATTCTGACTGTAGAAAGAAATAGTTTTTCCTTTCATAGATACGGTATTGACTCGTTTGAATTCAGCACGTTTCAGCAAGCTTTGTGTAATTCTGTTCTTACTGAAGATCAGACGTAATGCATTACGCGAGGGAATGTCCTGTGAAAGGTAATGTGATTACACTCCCGATTAGTAATTAGCCGTCTGTTGTTGCTGCTGCAGCTCAGCAAAGCAGCAGTGTAGCAGAGGAGGAAGACGTCCAGCCTTCTTCCCCAAGTTCAGGGACGAGGAGCGAGAGCAGAACCCAAGGGCCGCACCGGGTGACCCGCAGCCAAGCATCTCCAGTGAAGAAGTCAGGTATGACGAGCAATACTCTCCGACTGAAACGTATCAACATCTTTCATTTAAATGTGAGGTTTAAATTCGAGGTTGCCGAAATTAACCATCGTCCTCCTTGTGTTGCATCAGGGCACCAGCGTAACCTGCAACTAAGTAACGGCTCCAGACAGCGCCGCGGGCGAGAGGCGCCGCAGTCTGACAACGAGGAGGATGAGGAGGAGGAGGAGCAGGAGGAGGAGGGGGCGGTGTCCGGATCCAAAAGCTCCTCGTCGGAGTCATCCTCCACCTCATCGTCGTCCTCTTCCTCGTCCTCGTCGGACAGCGAGAACAGCTCTGAGTCTGAGATGGAGAAGTACGTGGAGGGGGGAGATCACGACTACAGCAAAGCCCCCTGCCTGTCAGTGTGCCACTCGGCTAAGGGGAAGGTGGCGGCCTCAGGGAAAAGGAGACACAAAGCAGGAGAGGACGCGGCACAGAGACCTAAAAGAGCACGAGTGCAGCCGCCGGTAGAGGAGGAGGAGGAGGAAGATGAAGAGGAGGAAGAGGAGGAGGAAGAGGAGGAAGAGGAGGAGGAGGAGGAGGAGCAGCAGCAGCAGCAACCGGTAGATGTAAGACATGACAAGGAGGAGGGGGATGAAGAGGAAGAGGGGGATGAAGAGGAAGAGGGGGATGAAGAGGAAGAGGGGGATGAAGAGGAAGAGGGGGATGAAGAGGAAGAGGAGGAACCCAAGGAAGAGGAGGAACCCGAGGAAGAGGAGGAACCCGAGGAGGAGGAAGAGGACGACGAGGACGACGAGGACAACTCTGAGGTGCAGACGGGAGCGGCGACGGCAACAGCAGCGAGCAGTCTGAGAGGCAGCCAGTGCAAGTCTCGGCGGGTCAACACACGCAACCAGGGCCGCAGGACAGTTCTGTACAGGGACGAGTCGGAGGACGATGGCCGTGGGTCCAAGGAGGACCCCCTCAACCTGGGCAGGTCCCGCTCAGGACGGGTACGCCGCATGACTGAGAAAGCCCGAGTCAGCCACCTCATGGGCTGGGGTCACTGACACGACGCCCCTTTTCAAACCTCAATTTTAAAACAGACTGTTTAACGTGCGTAACACTTCAGGGATGTTTTTCTTTCTTTTTGTACAAGTGTGTGTGTGTGTGTGTGTGTGTGTGTGTGTATATGTATATGTATATGTGTGTATATATGTATGTGTGTATATATGTATGTATGTATGTGTGTGTGTGTATAT